GAAGTTTTATTAACAAATGTTTCAGTATGTGTTATACTAAGTTATATGTGTTTACTTACATATACTAAAGTAGCAAGTACATCTTTTATATGTGTGACCACGTGACGACCACCTACGAAGTAGCATTCTTGATGTAATATATTTATCATATTTAGCTGTAGCAAAATAAGCATCCTTTTTTCGAACGATAAAAGTATGTAAAGTAAATGATTGGTTATGATAACTGCCTCATTCAAATAATGGATAATAACAACTGACATATGTTATAATAGTTGTCTCATTTACTTGTGAAAGTGAAAAGAGCAGGTGTCCTAAGGAACATTGTCTGTCAAAAGTAACTCTATCCTAAGTAATGATAACATACTTTAGCCCACAGAAACCCTGTAAAAAGAACGTCAAGAACATATTTAAATGCACAGCATACAGAGAAACTAGTGAAAGTGCATGATATTTAAATAAGCGTCCTTTTCAGGACAATAATTGTAAAAAGTATGCTTAAATATAAAAACTATAATCAGTATGTTAAATGTGCACTAAATCATACAGATGCTCTTGGCTGTCTTGTTCAATATTTATAAAAACATTAGGTGTGGTAAAAACTTTTCAGCAGTAGAGTATATGTGCTAATAACTCCTATTGTTCTATAGCAACAGGAGTAAATGAAAAATAAGATGAGACATGTTGAAACGTGCATGCTGTCCTGCAGAAGAAACACCTTTGTCAAACATATGCAATTAAGTGTAAGTTGAAATCTGTATGCAATCCTGTTAAACACTATTTACATTTGTAAGACCACTCGCCTATAGAAACTTAGTAACACAAGTTATAGTAACAGGTCTTTTCATATTATATCACTCCTCACTAAGATAGCCACACTCTCTAGACATTTCGTGGACTATGACGTCATCATCTTTAGTGACATCATTTCTCCTCATTGCCTGAGGCAATATTATAATGAGTTTTATACAAGCTGAAGCATTCATATGAGAAACAATAAAGAAGCAGGGAAAAACTATAACTTAGAAACAACTACCCATTAGTTACAAAAAACTCTTCATACGTCTAGTTTAAAACTCATATTTTACTACATGAAACTTTGAATAGTTTTTTAATGTCACTCACTAGTTTTTACTTATATTCATTTATAAATTACTAATACGTTAATGGTACAATTGTAGTAAATCCAAGGGCCCGGCATGGCCAGGTGGTTAAGGCACTCGACTCGCAATCTGGGGGTCGCAGGTTCGAATCCCTGTCACACCAAACATGCTCGCCCTATCAGCCGTGGGGGCGTTATAATGTGACGGTCAATCCCACTATTCGTTGGTAAAAGAGTAGCCCAAGAGTTGGCGGTGGGTGGTCTTACACTGCTAAATTAGGGATGGCTAGCGCAGATAGCCCTCGTGTAGCTTTGCGCGAAATTCAAAAACAAACAGTAAGTCCAAAATTCGTAATTTGTTTTTCTCCAAACAGAGGATATTTTTGTTGCAATATTTTATGTCGAAAAAATTTAAATTCCAAAAGAACGTTAAACTGACAAGATAATTTTTTTGTCTTTCAGTATGAACTCTGGGGATATAATACCCCTAAGATATTTTTTAATATATGGCAATATAAGTCCATGATGTAATTACCTTATATATATTGTTACGCTTTATGGGGAGAGTAAACTATTTTTGTTTATTTTGTGTCCGATTTGAAAAATATCCAGTACCAATTTAAAAGCATTTGAAAGTTACAACACCTTTAGGAACATTCCCATGTACAGGGTGTCCGGAACCATATGTACTTCAACGAATTTTACAGAATGCATTCCACATGCCATCCTTGTAACTCGAAACAAGCTGATATTAACAATAGGATTAACTCGTCCTTCTTATGCTTTGACAGCGCCATAATCAATCACGCAGGTGAAATTAAGAAAAGCTGCAAATCACCTATGGTTCCAGACGTTTCGGACGCCCTGTATGTAGAATGTGCTAAAAGAAAGGTAAAGTTAAGATTACCGTAGACTTTGTTCGTCACTTACTTGTACACGTTAACAAAAATGTTCTACGCAATGTTTAAGAGCCCACCGTTAGAATCATTGAAGAAGAAGGGAAATACAATCTCTGGAGCTCTGAAGCCCCTGATGTCAAAATCCGGGATAGGAGTCCTGGACACGAGAATGAAGGAAATTCTGGAATCTCAAAAACAGAAATTGTGTCTTAGTAAGTTGGTCCTATTACGTATGTAGTCATACATGGAAAACATACTATTTATTTAATCACTGACAGTAAAATAGTCTGGTAATGATAAAAATATTATACTCTTAAAACCCTGACGACAGCAAAATGCTTAATCAAATGAAGATTGAAAGGGTAATCTTTTAAAAGAGACCAGCAAGTCATCAAAGGCTTAAATTACATCTCGCACTTATCATCAAAGCACTAAAACGTCAAAAATGTCCATTTTTCTCGAACATTCAAGATGAACCGCTTTTAAGAAAAAGATCGCAAAACTGTGGATTTCTTGTTTTTTACTTAAGTGAAGGATTTTAGCGAATCGTTGCAATAATTCACTATTAATTACTATTTGTTATCAAACAAACAAGAATACCCTCACTATAATCAAAGTAGAGCTTTAAAACGTCAAATATAAATGTCCAGAAAGTCAGTTATTAAAATGGTGTAAAAATATTTTTAGTATATAGTAT